CCGGGCCGGGCCGGGCCGGGCCGGGCCGGGGGTGTGGGTGCCGCAGGACCCTCTGGGCCGCGCTCAGGGACTGCGGGTGGCGGGGCTGGGTTTGGAGCGGAAGGTTCCTCCGCTGGAGCTGCCGCTGGGAATCCCTGGGTGGCAGGTGGGAATGGCCACTTCCCACATGGCCTCTGCACCCTCAGTGCGCTCCCTCACAACCTGACTGAAACCCTCCACAAGGAATCATGAGCTGGAACGGCTTCAGGTTAAAATAACTGCAAGGGAGCGGTTGAGCAGATAAGAGGTGACCTTAGGACTGTGGAGGTGTGGCGTCTCGTCACAGCTTTGTTTAGTGGTTAGTGTGAAGAAAATCCCTTTGCTAATCCCCTCTGAAGCCTCAATAGTGAGAAAATGCTATATTTTTTTTTGCTTCTTATAATGTATGTTAATAATCATATGCTGGGGTAGATTTACTATGTGTCATTTTGTTAGTTTTGACTGGACTTTTTAGTCCTCATTACTGCATTTGGAAAAGGACAGAAAATGGGGTTTCTGTTGTTTATGCATCATGATCCAAACGGCTAAATGGCTTTAAGAGGACTGTAGTGGCTGACTTGCTATCTAATTTTCAGTGATAAATAAAGCCTGGTTTGCCCAATATTTTCTTGATCTTATGTTTGTTGTAGTCAAAGAGCATTCTGATGTAAGTTTTCTCTTTAGATTTCTCTTAGGAAATTAAAGTCATCCTGCGTTCACACTGACAAGGAGTTCTGCTGCATGAATATCCTCCTAGTGTTAGAAGAAAGGTCATATGAGGGGTTTTCTTTTTTGCAAGTATGTAGCTGTTTTGAAGCTTAGGCAAAATCCAGCCAGCCTTTGACACATCCAACAGGAAGTTTGGTATAGGCACTTCCAGGGGAAGAACGTGACCGTGAACAGCAGAGGCAAGCAAAGACATAAATAGTCATCAAAGAGATATAATTAGCCAATGTATATGCAGTGTTTGAAAAATGAAAATAAATAACAATTCAAGTGGAGTTACTGCTAAGAGCAGCAGCCCTTTTCCTCAGAAGCCCTGAATGGTAAGTGCTTTTGCAAGTGGGGATGGTCCCATGGCATGTGAGCACTTCTAGAGAATGGGACAGGAGATAAAAATCCTGCTGGAAACACTGTTACAGGATTTTATTAGGTTTATTGCTTCCACGATTTCTTCTTGGGCATCATGTTTACCCAGCTTTTTATGGTGCCAGCCTGACACCTCCACCTTCCTCTCCAGCAGACCCAGTTGAACTCCAGTGTGTCTGTCTCAGCTCACGCCGCAGCTCTGGGGACGTGTTTTTCTCTGAGAGGGCTTTGTTCTACTTCAGAGTTTCCTTGGTTCATTCCTGCGAAGGGGAAAGGCACACCTGCCATCCAGACAGCAGGGGAGCTGCTCTTATTTTCCCATTCGTGTTCCCAAAAGATACATTTCGCCTCTTTCAACCTCCGGGGAGGGAGAGCTGTAATCCAAGCCGAGCTCAGCCTGCTGGGTGTTGTAGTCCATCTGGGAGAAAATGGCCAAGACGTGGCCTCCTGATTCGAAACTGCTGGAGAAATGATGTGCCAGGTAGTCACACAGCCCCCATGCAACATCCCTGACTTCCTTCAGGTTCATGGAGCTTGGGGCTGGAAACACTGACCCACAGCAGGAGGCCCAGTCCAACCTGCAGAGAGATGTATGCATAAAGCTCAGGGTGCATGTGAAGTGTTAAGCTGTACCAAAGTAAAGCTCTTGAAGCCTTCTACCTGCTCAGGCACCAGGCTCTCTTTGTTAGCTTGATTATGTTTCTTTCCCTGGAGAGAAAAGAATGGAGAGAAATCTGCAGCTCTGGTTCAAGGGTTCCATAGGCATCCAACCATATGGAGACACTTTGCATGTCTGGGAGTGAAGCAGATGCTCATTTCTGAGTAGGTTTTGGAGACATTATTGCAATGCAAAAATAATTACCAACGTTTCCTTTGTGAGTCAGCATTTGCCATTTCAGGGAGAAGTGATCAGAGCTTAAAGACCTGCTCTGAAGAGATGACAGAACCCCTTATCCATCATCACTGCATGCACCTTCCCTTTCTTCCATAGCTAATGTTATCCATGTGTTCTGCATCCATTATAAACTTCATTTTTCATGTCTCAGCTACATGTGTTGCATGTGTCTCATGTTTGCATATAAGCACCTAGAATTCGGGACCTTACAGTTAATCTGCAGACCTGATTAACCCTCAATAAATACTGCTGCAGCTGACTTGCTTTTCATTTGAGATCTGAAAACAGGGAATACACGGAAATCTTATACCAATGCTTTGTGGGTTTCTGTGTGCATGACTTCCAGTCAAAAGCCCTACAATTCAATTATAACCTTTCTGTTATTTCCCATGGCTTTAGAAACAGCCTCTAGCTGTGATGCTGTGACAAATAGAAGCTAAACAATGCTATTAAAAATGCATGATGTGTGTTCTGCCACATTAGATAACATGGCCACGTTTATCACCCACTAATGCTGCCAGTTCACAGCTTTGCCAGTGCAGCCTCCCTCCCACATTTGCTTTGGACAATTTAAGTGGATTTTTGGCTACACTTCACCTTTCTTTCTTTTCACTTCTTTTTTTTTTTTCTTTTTTTTTTAACCTTTATTCACTACTCTGAAAATGGTGGTCCCAGCAGAGAGTGGACAGAGCTCTTGTTTCTCAATCTGTAGTTCACTAAGAAGCCCAGCCAGTCTGGAAAACAGTTGGAGAGGCTGATAAACACTGCTTTAGTGAAAAGCAGATACCCAAGTCCCTAGTTCTCTGTGAGGCCACTGCTGCACTGTTTGAATCCATCACCCTTCCCTTTATATCCACAGCTTGTGCTCACCATCTTTTGCCATTGCAAGAATGGAAGAGTTGCCTCTGTGCTGCTCCCTCGGTGGTCATACCTTCTCAGGGCTGGGTTGGGAGTTCGTCAGGCTGGAGCTTTTCTGCTTGTTCCTGTAACTCGGGCCCGTCACTGTTTCGGTTCTGCAACATTGTAATTATGGCAGTTGGCAGAACCTTTGGTTTCTCCCGATGGGGCTGCCTGGCTGTGAGCGCGGGTGCAGCAGTGCTGCGGTGACTTCTGCAGGTACCGGGGTGTTTTGCCTGCCTGGGCTGTGTGGCCGTGAGTCAGCTCTGGCCCAGGAGCCATCTGGCCGTGCAGCTCCGTGCTGAGCTCATCAGGCTGCTCCCGGGAAAGGTTTCTTCACTCAGGCAGAACAGTCACAGCAGTTCAATCCGTGTGCTGCCAGGGGAGTGGTGGGCAAGTGGCCATTTCCATTCCTCCCAACAAGCCTTGCCTGCATTTCCTCACACCCTCCCAGAAGGAGAACAAGCTGCAAAGCTGTAAAAACTTCATATTGGGGTGACTCAGTCTGGTGTTGTGAGAGTGTGCTGTTGGAGCTGTATCAGGGCAGATAACAGTCCGGAGCTCTTGTTATCTTGGCCACCCACATCCATGAAATACAGCCTATTTTAGCCCCTCACCAACTGCAGGCTCAGAAGCACTGACCACAGCAGCTCACTGTTTTATCCTCGCTGGCATGATGATCCCTGACTTTCCACTCCTTGCAGGCAACGTTGCCTTAGTTAGGGGTCATCCAGCTTTCTCTTGTCAAGCAGTGTAATGTCAAAGCAACGTGGCTGATGCACATGCTCAGGCACTGATCTTTTATTCTCTCACTCCACAAGTGCTCCGTGAATCCTCCTGAGTGCTGCCCTTTTGCTCTCCCTACCTGACTTTTACCTTTAGTCCCTGAACACAGAGTCTGGCACAGCATCGGTGGGGGCTGGAGCTGGGTATGCTCTTCCCTAAGCTACCACAGCAGGAATGTGAGTTTTCCTTTGGAGGGAGGGCATTCTCAAAGGAGCATGTTAAGGCCTGCTCACCTTATGTATTCTGTGGCTCTGCCCTTACCCCGGGAAAGGTGAATTCTTGGTGCTCTCCTACAAGTGGTAATTGCTGGGAAGTAGAAAACTGATGAGGATGAGGTAAATTGTATCCTCGAGGTATGGATTTTCCTCCCAGCCTGCTAAGTGGCAGATAGCTTTGGGTTTGCTTAGATTTTACCCCACTATCAAATGCAGGAATGTTTTTCACTGCACAGGGCTGTGGCCTGTGGTTAATGTGAAGGGCAAACTTGCCTGCAGGCAAGGGGCCTGCTCTCACTGGCCTGTCTGAAACACCCTGTGCTCCATCCACTGCTGTGGCTCCTCCTTGATGGTGTTTGAGCCAAACACAGTGCTCTCAAACCGCAGGTATGACACGGGTCAGCCACAGCCACCCCAGTCCCTCTCAGTCTCTCCAGCGAGGGTTGTGCTCTTGCACTTCCACCCCCCAGTTCCCCCTGAGCAAAGCACTCCTTCCTCTGATCTTGGTCTGCTACATCCCCAGCAGATCTGTGTGTCCGTATGTTTACTTGGATCAACAGGCTTCTGGATCTTACTGCCCATAATGTTCTCCCTAGTTTTGGCATTGATGGATACAGAGCTCAAAACGACTGTACTGTAAACAGGCAACCCCCAAAATGCTGGGACATTGACGGCAAGGCCTCTGCAGACTCAGCACATAAAATGGGTCACTACCGAGGGTATTTCACTTGAACAAGTCCTCTGTGCCTGCCTTTCTTTTTCCCTTGAAGTCACTTGCATGTGAACAAGTAAAACTAAGACAAGGGGTAACAAAGTGAGGGTGAGGAACGGAGAGGGGAAAGGAAAGTGTCCCACAGTCCCTCTCTGGAGTCTGCATCCTCACAGTTCCAGCCGGCTGCCTCCCCAGAGCTCTGATCCTGGTGCTGCTACAGAAATAAAGGCCCATTGAGAAGCCTGGCTCCAAATTAGCATTTGAATTCCCTTGTAGTCTGTTGTCAGATGGGCAGGAGGTGGGTGCTAGTCTCGGTTGCTCAGCGCTTATACACAAAGGTGGCTTTAAAAGGTCTTTATTTTTCTGAGGAAAAGAAATGCATTGCTCAAACTGTGGGTACTCTATATTTTCCTTTTTTTCCCCCCTCCTCTTTTTCTCTTCCTTTCTTGTCCGTTTCACCCCCTTTCCTGGATCAGGCTGAGCCGCAGATAGACACGTCTGGGTATTGTTAGCCCTGTCTGACCTACTTCTCTCCCTCCCCTTGGCCCCGTGTTATGGATGCTGGTGCTATGGAAACCTGGGTGACATGCCAGTGCCACAAAGCCATGGCCACCAGCTGCACCCTCCATTCCCAGCCTCACGGGAGTTCCCCTCTCAAACACCTCCCTCCCCTAAGAAAGTTAGCAGTGCTGCTTCCCATGGAAATTCCAGGGTGTCCTCCACCTATCCCACCACGCCGCGCTACGGAGGGACTGGGGAACTCTTCCATGGGCTCGGGTGCTTTTTTCCCCAGTCCCAAGGCACAGTATCTCAGTGCTGGTGGCCACGTGCAAACCCGCTGCTGCCCGCACCAGACTTGTTTGTGCACTTATCCGGCACCGGCCATCACGTCACGGGTAGGAAAGTACACGCGGGCGCCCTTGAAGTTTTCAAGATAATAAGCTACAAAGTTCTGCACCAGGATACAAGACTTGCCGGGAGCCCGGATGGAATGCTGTGCCTTCACCGCCCCTCGCGTGGCAAGCAGCCCCACGGGGACGGAGAGTTGTTTACAAGTTCAGCCTCTGCGCTTCTCGTGATAAAAAAAACAGTTCTCGCTGGTTCTGCGGGTTTCCTTTGTTCTCTACCGGCCTCCCATCCAGCTGGTTGCTTCTCCTGGGAGCCTGTGGCACTATCAGGGTGGATTTGCTTCCAGATACCTCACGCCAAACCTTTTGCTCTCCTCTATTGCTGACAATGAACTGGCAGCCGTAAGGGAAGGAAGCAGGAAGGAGCTCGGGAATCCGCACAGCGCTTGCAGGGGCTCTTTATGCGTGTCGTAAGCGTCTCCAGGAGATTCTTGCGAGGCTCCAGGACTCCCCCAATCCAATAACCTTAATGCCAGAGCCTGGCCCAGCACGGATCAAGCTCGAAGCAGGCGGGTCGTGCCTGGGTGCCAGCGGCCGTGCCGGCTGCCCGGGGAGCGCTGCCCCGGGCATGTCTCGGGTGCGGCCGGAGGTGCCCCGGCACGGGCGGCGGGCCCAGAGTCGCCGGTGGACGGTTCTCTTGGACCCCCCGGACCTCCGGGGCACCCCCGGACCCCCCGCCCGCCGCCGCAGCCGCGGGGCACCAGCGCCCTCTCCCGGCCCCAGGAGGAAGCGGCGGGGCCGGGGCGGCAGGAGCGGGGACACAAATCCCGGAGGGAGTGGGGACAGGAACCCCGGGGGAGAGCTGGGACACGAATCCCGCGGGGAGTGGGGACATAAACTCCACGAGGGAG